AAAAAAAAAAAAAAGAGCTAATGGGGATCTTTAAGTTTGGGGGCCAGGAGAAGAAATCATCAGAACAGAGTTTTAAGTGTAATTATGTAGCAGTGTAAAAAACAGATTTGAGGTAGGTAAAAATAAGAGCCAATGGAGCCTAGTTGGTAATATTCTGGAATGACACAGGGAGGCTCTCATCTAGAAATGGGATTGAGACAGAGATAGGACTGATGGGATGCTATGATGATAACTGCATGGAAGATTATCGTGTTCTTTCCTGATACTGCACAGCCACAGCTAATTAAAACATGTCTACATTTTTGTGTTCTGGCCATGACATTTTAATTAATGTCATTAATTAATTTAATTTATTAAATCCCACTGTAGTCTTATAATGTCATAAATAAAAGGAAGCTGGTAGACATTGGGCATAGCCAAGTCACGACTTGATGTTCTTCCTTTAAACTTTCTTCCTTTCCTTCTTTTTTTCCTTCCTTTCTTCCCTTTGTTTTTTTCTGGCACTCTCTATTCTTTGTGGCTGGCAACATAGTAGAACACCACGTTGATATATAATAATAATTATCTTACACATAAGTTTTTAAAGCTTCAGTAGCAAAAAATACATTATTTTAAGTATAAAGAAGTTGGTTAGAACTGCAGTATAGGCAAGCTTGTCTACTGAACCACTTGATAAGATTATTTTAGTTTATTTTAATTTTTACATATATGTCTACTTTTCAACTTGAACTGTAATAGGGAAATGCTTAGAACCAGGCCTGGTACAAAGCAGGTAGCAAGTGTAAACAAACAGAGGTTTACAAAAATATTTTTACATAAATACATAGATAAGAACTTTCTACATAGCTACATCAGCTTTTAGTGTTCTCACGTTCAAAATGTGTTCCATCTTGTCCTCTGTAATCAAATGTATTTTTTCTCATATCATCTCTCTTAAAGCCATTTTCTTGCAATTTTTGTAAATGATAAGCCATTTTTTTCTCTAGAAGGGCTTGTTTCTAAAATATTAAAGACAATATATTGGTTAATACCAACTTGCTATTTAGAAAGCACAACAAATATTTAAAATGTGACAGCATATAGTCATGCACTGCATGACAACATTTCGGTCAACAACAGAGGGCATATACAGTGGTGGTCCCTAAGATTAGTACCATACAGCCTAGGTGTGTAGTAGGCTATACCATCTAGGTTTGTGTACGTACACTCTATGTTATTCACACATCAACAAAATTGCCTAACAACATATTTCTCAGAATGTATCCCCGTCATTAAGCGACTCACGACTGTATTGAAAATGAATAGTCATTCATGTCTTGTGACTTGCAACGTTACACTGAGGGCACATTTGGGAGAGTAGTAAGGGATAAATTTCCAACTGTCGTCAAACATGAAGAATACATTTAACACAGATGCAATTTACCTCACTGCACACCTTCAGGGAACTAGTTTTAGATCAGATATGGTCCCTTAATCCATAGCTATCCTGGTAAATTTAGGCAATTTCTAAATCATCTTCAGTTGGAGGATTCCTGAGTGATTTAACCAAGTCACTCAAGCCTACCATAGAGAAACATAACATAATACATGAAATTGACTTCCCTTTTGAATCTCTGGGCTAATACTAGAAACGAGATAACTGCACAAAAAAGAACCCCTGAAATCCTCAGAGGGCTCCCTACAGTATTCAGCAAGAGAATGGATAGGTAGATGTGTGTGAGGAAACTACCAAAGGACACAGACAGGACAACCCTAAAGGACTAGCAAGAACAGTGCTTGGCACCCACCTATCATGCCTATTCTTACCAGCCACTCTAGAAAAATTTCATCAGTCACAGGGCATTGGGTAGAGTACAAAAATGAGTCTTGCCTCAGTATTGGGGAATAACTACTCCCAGATTAAACATGGCTCTAGCCCTGTCTAACAAATCTTAAAAAGCAAGGCTTATAACAATCAAACTGTTTCCAAATAAAGTATCTACATCCAAGAAGAAAAGGTAAAGAATATGAAAATATCCAGCATCCAAAAAGTAAAATTCACAATATCTGGCATCCAATCAAACGATACCAAGTATATAAAGAATCAGAGAAATATGGCCCAAAAAATGAATAAATCAATCAATCAAAATTTATCCATAAATGACACGTGTTAGAATTCAAGATAAGAACATTAAAAAAGATAACATAACTGCATTCCATATATTTACAAGATAAAGAAGAGACATGAAAGATATGAAAAGGACCAAAATCAGTTTTTTTTAATATGTGAGATGAGTAATACAATGGATGCATTAATAGCATAGTAGACATCGCAGAAGAAGAGATTAATTAATGTCTACTCAGGAACAGAAACCATCAAAAAGGAAACACTGAGAGAAAAAAACATTGCAAAATGTAAAGAGTATCAGCGAGATGTGGGACAAAATCCAGCAGTCTAATATATCTGTAGTGAGAGAGGGGGTATAAAAGAAATATTTGATAAAAATGTCCACTATCATTGCTTCTATTCTACGTTATACTGAAGGTTCTAGTCAGTGCAATCAGGCAAGAAAAAGAAAAAGAAATAAAAAAGCATCCACCTTCAAAGAAAAAATTAAAACTACCTTTATTCACAGACAATATGATCATTTATGTAGAATATCAGTTGGCATCTAGAAAAACACTACTAGAACTAACAAGTGATTTTAACAATACAAGGTACATGATGAATATAAAAAATTACTTTTCTATATACTATCAAATAATCAAAATTTGAAATAAAAAATGCAAATTATAATAGCATAAAAATTATGAAATACCTAAGGGTGATTCTATCAAAAGATGTGTAATACCTGTATACTGCAAAAGTACATAACATTGATAAGAAAAATTAAAGGAACCTAAATAAAGAGAAAGACATATTTGGTTCATGAGTTGGAAAACTCAATACAGTCATGTACCACAAAAGGATGTTTCGGTCAATGACAGACTGCAAATACGACAGTGGTCCTATAAGATTAGACTATGCTACAAACCATATAGCCTAGATGTGTAGTAGGCTATACTATCCAGGTTTGTGTAAGTACACTCTACGATGTTCACACACTGATGAAATTGCCTAATGATGCATCTCTCATAACATATCCCCATCATTAAGTAATGTATGATGATATTATCAAGAGATCAACTGTGCCCAAACTGACCTATAGAGTCAACACAATTCCAATCAAAATCTCTGTAAGATTTCTTGGTAAAAATTGACAAGCTGATTCTAAAATACATATGAAAATGTAAAGGGCTTAGGTTAGTCAAAACAACTTTGAAATAGAAGAAGAAAGTTGGAAGCACTACTGATTTAAGGAATTATTGGGATAGGTTCAAGATGGTAGTGTAGGAAGATCCTGAACACACCTCCTCCCATGGACATAACAAATATACAGCTACAAATGTAACAAATCCCTCTGAAAAGAATCTGAGAACTAACTGAACACGTGCTCCACAACAAAGAATAAAAGGGCCACATCGAGACAGGTAGGAGAGGCAGAGACATGCTCTTGCCAAAAGCCCCATCCCTGGCATGGTGACCCACAATTGGGAGGATCTCAAAAAAACCAAATAAGCTCCATTTAGTACTTCCCTCTTAGACCTGCTTTTGCTGCATCCCAAAGATTTTGGTACGTCATATTTCTGTTTTCATTTGTCTCTAGGTATTTTTTGATTTCTTCAATGACCCATTGGTTGTTCAGTAGCATATTATTTAATCTTCACATTTTTGTGCCTTTTCCAGTTTTCTTCTTATAATTAAAAAGTTTCATACTATTGTGATCAGAGAAGATGCAAGCATCCATTTACGATAAAAACACAGTGGATACAGAAGGAATGTACATAAACAAAGTGGATACAGAAGGAATGTACATAAACATAATAAAGGCTATACATGAAAAACCCACAGCTAACATCATAGTCAATGGTGAAAAGCGGAAAGCTTTTCCTCTAAGATCAAGAACAAGACAAAGATGCCCACTCTCATCACTTTTATTCAAAATAGTATTGGAAGTCCTAGCCACAGCAATTAGGCAAGAAAAAGAAATAAAAGTCATCCAAATCAGAAAAGAAGAAGTAAAACTGGCACTATTCGCAGATGATATAAAACTATCCATAGAAAACCCAAAAACTTCACCAAAAAACTGTTAGAATAAATGAATTCAGTAAATTATCAGGATACAAATCAATATACAGAAACCTATGGCATTTCTATACACTAATAACAAACTATCAGAAAGAGAAATTAAGAAAATAATTTACAATTGCATCAAAAAGAATAAATTACCTCGGAATAAATTTAACCAAGGAGGCAAAAGACCTGTACATTGAAAACTATAGGACACTGATGAAAAAAATTGAAGACACAAATAAATGGAAAGATATTCCATGCTCATGGACTCAAAGAATTAATAATGTTAAAATGTCCATACTGGACCAGCCCAGTGGCGTAGCAGTTAAATTCACATGCTCCACTTCAGCGGACTGGGGTTCACAGGTTCGGATCCTGGGTGCGGACTTATGCATTGCTTATCAAGCCATGCTGCAGTGGTATCCCACATATAAAATGGAGGAAGATGGGCACAGATGTTAGCTCAGGGCCAATCCTCAGCAAAAAGAGGAGGATTGGCAATGGACACTAGCTCTGGGCTAATCTTCCTCACCAAAAAAAAACAGAAAAACAAGTCCATACTACCAAAAGCAATCTACAGATTCAATGCAATCTCCATCAAAATTCCAATGGAATTTTTCACAGAACTAGAACAAATAATTCTAAAATTTGTATGGAACCACAAAAGAGCCCAGATAGCCAAAGCAATCTTGACAAAGAACAACAAAGCTGGAGGTATAAAGCTCCCTGATTTCAAACTATACTACAAATCTATAGTAATCAAAATAGTATGATATTGGCATGAAAACAGACACACAGATAGATGGAATAGAATCGAGAGTCCAGAATTAAACCCACACATATATGGACAATTAATTTATGACAAAAAAGCCAAGAACATACAATGGACAAAGGACAGTCTCTTCAATAAATGGTGTTGGGAAAACTGACAGCCACACGCAAAAGAATGAAATTAGACCATTGTCTTACACCATACACAAAAATTAATTTAAAATGGATTAAAGACTTGAATGTAAGACCTGAAACCATAAAATTCCTAGAAGAAAACATAGACAGTAAGCTCCTTGATATCCATCTTAGTGATAATTTTGTGGATCTGACAAAGGCAAGGGAAACAAAAGCAAAAATAAACAAATGGGCCTACAACAAACTAAAAAGCTTCTGCACAGTGAAGGAAGCCAACATCAAAACAAAAAGGCAACCTACTGAATGGGAAAAGCTATTTGCAAATCACACATATGACAAGGAGTTAATATCCAAAATATATAAAGAACTCACACAACTCAATAACAAAAAATCAAACAACCCAATTAAAAAACGGGAATAGGATCTAAAGGGACATTTTTCCAAAGAAGACAGACAGATGGTCAGCGGGCATGTGAAAAGATGTTCAATATCACGAATTATTAGGGAAATGCAAATCAAAACCTCGAGGTATCACCTCATACCTGTTAGAATGGCTATTATTGAAAGGACAAGAAATAATTAAGTGTTGTTGAGGATATAGACAAAAGGGAACATTCATACACTGTTGGTGGAAATGTAAATTCATGCAGCCACTATAGGAAACAGTATGGAAATTCCTCAAAAAATTAAGAATACAGCTACCATATGATCCAGCTGTCCCACTTCTGGGTATATATCTGAAGAATAAAAAAACACTAATTTGACAAGATATATGCACCACTATGTTCACTGTAGCATTATTTGCAATAGCCAATATATGGAAACAACTTAAGTGTCCACTGATGGATGAACGGATAAAGATGATGTGGTATATATATACAATGGAATAGTACTCAGTCAAAAAAAAGAATGAAATCTTGCCATTTGTGACAACATGGATGCACCTTAAGAGTATTATGCTAAGTGAAATAAGTCAGATGGAGAAAGACAAATACCATATGATTTCACTCATATGTGGAATCTAAAAAAAAACAAAACAATAAACAAACAAAATAAAACCAAAAACAAACTCAGAAACAGAACAGACTGGTAGTTACCAGAGGGGAACAAGGTTGGGGGGTGGACAAAATGGGTGAAGGAGGTCAATTGTATGGTGATGGATGGTAGCTACACTTTTGGTGGTGATCACCTTGTAGTGTATACAGATGTCGAATTATAATGTTGCACACCTGAAACTTTTATAATGTTATATACAAATTTTACCTCAATAAAAAAATAAAAAATTATTAAAAGTACAATAATCAAGACATTATAATAGATAAATAGGTCAAAGAGCAGAAAAGAGTCCAAAAATGGACTGATACAACTGATTTTTAACAAAGATGCAAAGGCAAAATCTTTTAAAGATTTTTATAACGGTAATTTAAGCATATATTTTGGAGTAAAAATATACATAATGTGAAATCTGAAAGAAAGATAAAAATATTAAGAAACACACAAAAGAATTGAAAACCTTTCATATTAGAACGTGATTCAAAAAAGACAATTTAGAAAAACTCCACTGGAAATATCAATAATTTGAACAGCTGTCATTAACATGGCTCAAGCAGCCTACACGCCTACATCAGTGGTCATGTCTAACAGGCACCCCTAGTGCCAGAATTTGATCCACTGCACTAGTTGCCACTAAAATTGGCTGGGACTCCTTGAAGAGTAATTGTTATCAGGCAAAAATAAGAGGAAACTTGGGGCATTGTGTTGCTCCCCAAAAACAAAGATACTTTCAGAGATGTCTGAAAGCAAAAGAGGCCAACTTGCAGAGAACTCCCACCGAAAAAGAGTAGTGCAAATTGAATATTAGAGAATAATAATTACAGTCAATTGGAATAAGCTGAGCTTGCCATACGACCAGCGAGTCCCTGATGATACTACAAGGTACATGTAACAAAAGTAGAACAAAAGATTATCGTGCATATTTAAATTTCCAATACTTAAAAGAAGTTGCTATATAGCAGTATACACCAATATAACCAAATTATGTAACTCTTACACTGACATCTAGGTTTGTCAACAATACACCACCTGAAATGATTATTTAGAATGAGACCAACATTTATTGACATGAAAAGTTGTCAATGTTATTTTATTACATGAAAAAGCAATTTACAAAACAGTCTGTAAGGTATAAAAACAAGAATTTATTTATTTATTGGCATAATAAATATTCATAGAAATATTACACAAATGTGTGTGTTTGTGTGTGTGTATGTAGTTGTGTGTACCAATAAGTTAACAGGATGGTGTTGGGATTATAAATTATTTCTCTTTCTCTTTATACTGATTTACACTCTAAATCATAAAATATGTATTATTTAAAATTATAAACAATTATTCTAAAAAATTAACTGGTGGGGAAAATTGAGAAATTTTCCAATAAATCTGATTCTAAGAAAAATTTAATCAGTTATGTCATTTTTTGTTTAGGAATTACAAGTATATTTATTGTGTGAGATAAAGTCAAAAGCAGTTATACCAAATAATAGGGAGGCACTTTCTATATTATAGCCAGAAAATAACATGGCCAAAATACAGTAAAAAATTTCATAACTTTCGGTCTTGTGTAATGCACATCATTTGGGGTAACTAGTCCATCATCACCTCACAAAGTGTACTTTCAAAAATCAAAAGTAGCAAAAGCTTCATCTCAAACAGCCCAAGTTAGAGGTTAAAGCTCACCCTACCTTCCTGTCACTCTCTTCTCTGCTTCTACGCCGTTGTTCCTCTATCCTAGCTTCCCTTCTAACATCTTCTCCAATCCTTGTCAGAAGTAACATCTCTTTTGTCTTCCATTCCTAGAGAGCACAATGTTACTGTACAGTATGGGTTCACAATAAACTTTTGTAGTTTGTCCACCACCAACAAACAAATTAAAACAAGTTAAGGCCTAACAGAAATCAGGTCAAGCATAACGCAAGTCATACATTGGTTTTAGAATGGGCTTTCTGTACTGCAGTCCTATTAGGAATACAAGCATGATTATTTTTTACTAAACCTAAATTTAAAATTTTTTCCTCCCCACACTGAGGACTATAGGAGAATTAAATAGTGTGTAGTGTCTTTCAGAATCATCTCTTTAAGAGCAGATATTGGCTCATACATATAGTTTGTGGTATCAGCTTCATTATTTTACGTAGCAACTTGTACATTACAGCTGTGAAGAGGGACTAATATGGGTAATTATTTAGACCTGAAATGACTTCAAGAAGCATGATGGACAGCTAAAATTATTTACAAGTGAACCAACTGTACACAATTTTTCTCTCAATTTGTTATCTCTCACCTCTTCAATTTTTCGACGAAGAATCAGTTTTCTTCTTGTGTGTTCCCGCTGTTGTCTTTCTTCTCTATCCATCCGGAGCAGGCGCTGCTCTTCTGCTGTGTGCTCAAGTTGTTCTAATTCCCTACTTATCATATCCAAATACCTAAGTAAAAGTGCAAATATAAGTAAAGGTGAATTGGGTGTTTCCCTTTTGATGGCATCATCTGCTTTGACATTCCCAAACCATCTCCTTGCTTGCCTTTTATTTCCTGAACTACAGGAATTTGACAGTTTTTCAATCAGTTCTGTTCATGGACCTTTAAGCCAGCCTGACCCACCAACTCACCATATTTTTTTCATCATACAGGTCTCCCTACTATATAAGCATCTGTTTTTATGGCCAAGACAATGGTAAAACATGGAGCAGACTGATTAAAACATTTTGCACAATAAGTATTCATAACTCAGTAGGTTTAGGAATATGAAATTATAAAAAAGGCTAAAATAACTGAAACATTGACTTCAAATCTGGAAAAAAACACATTTGAATCTCCTAAGAAAAATATATCTACTGAGTCCCTTGTAACTTACAAGGCCTTGAACAAATCTTCCATCTATAGTCTGGGTCTCTGGCATGTCAATATATATCATGGAACTACCAGTCCCTCACCTTAATGAAGGAGGAAGAAAAAGACTATAACATCCCTTCACTTCTTAAGTAATGGCCTTGACCACAGAATGGTCATGATTGAATGTAAGCAGGTAATATGTGAAGGGCTTATGAAGTTTTTTTAGAGACAATGTATATTTGTATTGGCAGTAGATAAAGTTATATCAAACCTCCTTTTTTGACTTTGCACTAACTTCCTCAAACTTAATGCTATCAGCCCTTCAAGATAAATTTAAAAACCCACTGTGAGAGGGATATGCTAAAGATACTTTCCCTTTGTCTCTTGCTGTAGGAAGGATTTTGGATCTGGTTTGTTCTTTGGTGATCAGTTTGGATTACCTCTTGGACTCCCAGCAACCCTGTCTTCTCTGGTAGAAATTCCTCTTCATAGCACCATAGTTCCCAATTCCTGTACCTCTTGTTCTCCCTTCCTCTCCATACTGAGGGCAATAGTGGAGTTAAATAGTGTCTAGTACTTTTTAAAAAATCCTACCTTCAATTCTTTCCAGTATTTTCCATCTTCTTTGAGTCTACAATATATACACAAAATATGCATTACCTTCAACCTTACCTGTGTCTTATTAGTCGTTCCTGGTCCTTAATAGATTGGGTGCCCTCCTGTAACAACCAATTTTGGAACTGTGCAACATCACAATGTTGAGGTATGTGACTATTTTCCTGTAGTTTATTTACTTGTTTTGCAAGCATTTTCTATTAAAAAAAAAGTGTGCATGTATCATATATATGTATATGTGTGTGTGTGTGTATATATACACACACACACAATGTTTTTTTAAATTTCCCAGAAATAAAGCTGTCCTTTGATATACCTTTTTATATTTAGTGTTTGGTAAAATTTCTATACTTTGTAAATAGCTAATTCTGTTTAACTGCATTTAAATCTGTTTTGACTCCATCACAGACATGAACCAAAATAAAGATTTCTCTCTCTGAAAATAAAATATAAATATTTCATAAAATATTTATTTTATATTTCATGAATATAATATATTCATAAAATACATATTTCAAAAAAATAAATATTTATCTACCCATTCTGAAGAAATCAAATGAAAATATGGAAGAAGTGGAGGCATAGAGGGGGATCTGGGGGAAAATACAGAACAAGTATAGGGAAGTCATTCTCATTTCTCTACAACTCTCTTAACCTTAGAAATAAATTTGTAAAAGTACACATACACACACCTTTCTCATTTTTATCCAATTCTCGACCTTAAAACTCGAATTCATTAACACACATGTAAGCGCATGCACGCACACACACACACACACTCTCACAGAAACTTTGAGTTAAAAACTGAAAGGAAGTCACTATCTGTATTCACTCACTCTACACTAAATCATTCCACTTCACCTTTTAGAACAACATTTTTTACTAGATAAACACAGCTGCATGCGTGTGGGTACAAACACACAGTGTACTTGTTCTTTGATTCACCTCCAGGACATTGTAACTATTCATACTTTTCCTCTCCTGTTACTCAAGCTGTTTTGGGTTCCAGCTTAAGAATCTTGCTGCCAAATTAGACTCTTCCTGTTGACCCTAGCTCAGGTAGAAGGGACACATCTGAATAGCAATTTATTTACTACATTAGACCAGCTACCACTGGCATATTAATAGATGACCTGGTCCCTTTTCCTTTCTTGGCCCAATATAGCAACCTCAAAATATTATTTATTCCTGCTCTAAATTTTCATTTGGAAAAATTATTTAGTTTGTCAAAATTAAAGGTAAAAATATGATAAGAGAATACTTGGCATACAAACAAACCTTTCTTCCAAACCCTATTTAAAGAAACCAAATTTAAGTATGTAACTTACTTGTTCTCTTATATAGTTTCTTTCAAAGTCTAATTTTAAACTGGTAAGATATTGCCTGTACTTATTCAGTTCCTTCAAGGTACATACAATCTAAAAAAAAGTAACAACAACAAAAATATATAAATACAAATATTTAAAAATCATAGCAATCACTTCCCAGAGGAAAAATAGTAATAATATACCATTTGGTAACATTTTGGCATCAAGAGTAATAAATTGTTAACAATTTTGTAAGAAGTATCTCTCTACAATTGTTAATCAACAGGAAATTTTTATCCCAATAACATTACTTTATTAATATGAATTATGCCATGATAAGGAATTTGGTACACACAATTGAAGTTATTAAAATAAAATACCAATGTAATAATAAAGTTCAACCCCCAAAAAGAACAGTAGTCTATCAGGATTCTATCAGGCTGATTTTGCTAAAGGAAGAAGTTGTTGCATATAGAAACAACTGTTGTCTGATTTCCCATGCCCTAAATACTGAACAATTTATGGAATTTCCCATTAAGTATCTCTCATGGCCAAGTTAAAGGCGCCTCTAGTGAGGTACAGAAGGAAGCTTATATCCAGTCTTGGTTTTCAATTATTAAAAAGTCATCTTCAACTCACTTTATTATTGCTGGTGATGTAGCCACCTTTCTTTAATCTCCTCAGGATATCTTTGCGCTTATAGTACGCTCTTAAATGTGGATCATGGAGACTTTTATACTGGTTTTCCAAAAGTCGACAGTAAGGATCAGTCAGGTTAAAGCCATAAGAAGGCTGAAAAAGCTGCAAACGCAGATTTAAAAATATTATAAATATAAAATTAATGAATGTCACTTTTAAATATCAACCTATTGAAATGACTAGACTGTTGACTGAAAAGAAAGCATGTAAGAAGAATGTGAAGAGGGGAAAAACTAGCAACAGAAAGATGTGGATTGGGCAATATTAATTGCTTATCCCTACCTCTTTTCCCCACTGACCTGAATTATTCTAAAAACCCACCCTCACTCAATTAATTCCTCCCCTGATCGCCATCAGTTCTTGGCCCTGAGCCAAAGAAGAAAGGCGCAAAGGAAAAGAAAGAGAATAGGATAAAATTTGTTTTAATGTATGAAGCTAATGCTAAGATTCTCCCTTTTCCTCCTCCCTTTTCCAGGTCAAGGCACTGTGTTCAAAAGATGAAGGGACAATATTAATTATGATTATTGTATCTCAATAATCTGAAAATGAAGAAAAACAGAAAATCTTTTCACCAAGATTCGTGGAAACAAATTTAACAAAACATAGCAGAAGTAAAACTCAGATGTTAAGGATGATGGAACCCAATGATCTCTGAGTGCTATAGTCAGGAAAAAAAATTCAAGGTCTATGAAGTCAACATATGGAAGAACCAATTGTAAAGGATATTGATAGGGACTGAGGTTTCTCCATATGTGTAAAGACCAAATACAACCTTACGCAATAGCAATTAACATATAAAAGGAGGAAAATACCAGCTAATAGTCATGTTTCTACATCTGTTACTTTAGAAGAAACAGCTGAATTATTTAATTTCATTTGTAAGTTAAAACATTACCCAATGAGGTTTTTTTTTCGTATGAGTTCTTAGTCCACTTTTCAATAGCAGGATAGTGCTAATGGGTCATGGGAGAACCTCTGAAAGGGAAAAAGTGGAGGATTGAAATAGGTGGGAAGTTGTCCCAATGTAGCCTTTACCTTCTTTTTTTGCTTTCCTTTAAGTTTTCTTGGCCAGAACAAGAGAATTTTTATTGTAAAGTAATGCTGAAGCAGGAATTGGCTCAAGTGAAAGGCAACTGGAATGTGTGGGAGATGTGGCACACCTGAGAACACCTGACGGGTTGCAGGCACCCAGTTCAATTTATAAGACCCCATCCATTGCGCACTAGTCCAGACCTGTCTGCAGGTACCAATTTGTGACCTCTGCGTTCAGTACGTCAGCAGCCACCTCAGTCAGATTCTGAATACCAAGAAGCTTGGCTGGGTGGGACCCTAAAAGGAACTCCCTCAAGGCAGGGGGGGGATGCTTCATCTGTGGGCAAAGGTGCAGACTTGGTGGAACCTGATAGGATTCTGGCTTTCCTTTTCCATTTAAAGACTTCCTTGGTAAGTTTCTGACCTCTTGCTTAACACCAGACTTCAATCACTTCCAAGGGGGCTAAATCATAAAGCGGAATTTCCTGATTATCCATGCTTCCCTGAGAAGGCAAAGAAAAGAATCTTATAGGGCAATGTTTTGAATTCAGTGAGACCAGATATGAAGCCTTTCTCTTTCCTGAAAAGGAAACAATCAACAATCATGAGTCAAGGAGTGGACTGATCATTTCTTTTAGATGCTGACATTTAGCTGTCGACTTCTTTTAGCTGTTGACTTTTAGCTGTGTTGGCATATGTTTCTCAAGACCAAACCAAGGCTACTGATCTGTAAACAAAGAACACCTTTTTAAAAAATGCATTCATTACAGCCAGGGTAACCCTTCTGTTGTCAATTAAAATAATTCGTTTCCCTTTAAAAAAAAAACAACTAAAAGTGTAAATATAAAGCATTACTTCATTGAGGAGATTGTATTGAAAGAAAAAGAAATCTCACAAAGTCAGTCTTTAGGGAAATAGTCTGGTGCCTAATTATGATTCAATGAAGACAGTTTTGGGGGGAATGAATGTAATAAAGAATAGAGAGAACATCTTTTTAAAAAGTAGTTGACAAGTGAATTAATATTTGACAGATAAAACGGTAATACAACAAACAATATATCTGAAGAAGCAGACAAAAGAGAGGGCTAAGTCTACACACTAAAAAAGAGGGATACAGGTTTCCAGCCTGCCTTAGGAAAGCTAGTTTGTGTGGATGTGACTCAGTCAAATTGTGTGATGTTAAACATATTTTTAGTTAGCTTGCACTATTCTAGCAGAACAGATTTTTTTTTAAAAAGGGAAGTTGCATATTTTCTAGAAACAAAATTTACTTTAAGAAATCATGTTTAGGGCCAGCCCGTGGCTTAGCGGTTGAGTGCACATGCTCCGCTGCTGGCGGCCCAGGTTCGGATCTGGACGCGCACCCAGGCACCACTTCTCCGGCCATGCTGAGGCCACATCCCATATACAGCAACTAGAAGGATGTGCAACTATGACATACAACTATCTACTGGGGCTTTGGGGGGGGCGGGGAAAGGAGGAGGACTGGCAGTGGATGTTAGCTCACAGCTGGTCTTCCTCAGCAAAAAGAGGAGGATTAGCATGGACGTTAGCTCAGGGCTGATCTTCCTCAAAAAATAAATAAATAAATAAATAAAAATAAAAAAAAGAAACACACATTTAAAAAAAAAAAAAGAAATCATGTTTATTAGGCAAGTACCCAATACCAAGAGGCCCTACTCATTTCTGATGACATCACAGACAGTAGAAGGATAAGGGGGTCACTCAGAACTCATTCTTGTAGAATTTTTTGCCATCTTGATCAAAGCAACCACTCCAAAAGAATGTACAGAACCTCCTTCAGCATTAGTTACTGAGTCGAGGTCTGGGGAGTTTGAGGGTGGGAGGAGCATTGAGGACTAAAAACATGAAAGGGTTTGAGGGAAGTACACACTATAACCCAGTATAATTTAAATTATAAAATTACAGTCTTGAGTAAAATTATATAAACCAATGGCAAGAAAATTTCTAAGGAAATATAAGCTAATTGGCGGCTGTGATAGTTCAGAAAGAATCTTGAAATATGAATCAAATTCATAGATTGAGGGGAAGAAGAAAGGGTATGCCAGGTTTGGGAGGCAAGGTGAACAAAGGCACAGAAATATGAACATGGTATGTGTGAGCAGATATGTAAGACCCCAACTGGAAGGAGCTGAGGCTCTGGATCCAAGAAAAGACTAGATGGGGAGGCTGTGGCAAATCACCGAGTCTCCTCAGAGAAGCAGAGCCTTCTTCCATTAAAGTGAGGTTAAAATACCAAACATGGTAATTCATTTCAACTTCACTTTGTTCTCACTTTGTGTGTGAAACAGAATTCAACTCAAAACAAAATCATAGAGAAGTGTTCTGTAACAAGAGTTTTGTTCAAGTTATTATTGATTAAAATCATAACATATAATTAAATGCCAGCCAGCACCCATAACCTCCCACCTTTCAACCAAGCATGTTTCTAATAAAATCTCACTAAATGGGTATATATGAAGTATTATAAAGAAAAGTTAATATGGATCCATTAATTATAAATTAAGACAGAACTAAGAATCTAAACTTTCTAGCCCATGATTCTGTCCAAACCATACTAGATGAAGTTGCTGGGTATGCATCCTAGACAATACCTCAGGTTAGATGTGGGTTTGATTATTTTTTTCCTGTGAGTGTTAGCGCCAATTCCCTTAACGCACTGTACGATGTAGCGCCTGAATTTACCAGCAAGTGGAAAGGGGCAAAGAAAACCAACGTAATACAACGAAAAATTACTTTACCTTTTCACTTAACTTTGTAGTATAGTACAAAGTATTGCTTCCTGGGATCACAGGCAGCTTGACCCCAAGAGGCAGATCCAGCAGCTGAGCCGCTCCGACCCCGGGCAAGTGGGTTTTGTGCGCGCCCTGTCGGATGCAATCGGAAAGTCTTGTCTTTCCTTTGGGGTACTACTCCTTTAGTTTAGGCCCATCTACTCCTACCCCAGCCGGACAACTAGGCTTGAAGGGTCCCGCCCCGCCACACAGCCCTGAAGACCCCCGCTGCCAGCGTCAGCAGCTCTCTCCCGCCGCCGGGCGCGCCGCGCGAGGGCGCCAGGAGCCCGCCGGTTAGGACCCGCGCGACCCCCGGGCCCTCCCTGCCCCTCCCCAGCCGCCGGCGGCGCAGGACGACCCCGACGCCGGGCCACTCACGTCGCCGCACTGCTGGCTGTCGGCGGCCAGGCTGCTGGTGGCCGTCTTGGAGGCGGCGACGTTGGCAGCCTTGGAGCAGGCGCTGAGGTACAGCTCCATAGCGGGCCCGGGCCCCCCGGCCCCCGCCGCCCGCGCCTCTCGCCTTCCCTCGCACCCCCTCCGTCGTCGTCCCTCGGTCCCGACCGGACCGGGAATGGCCAGTACCCGCCGCCGAGGCCCCGCCCTCGCGCCGTTCCGGCTCCGAACGCGGGGCCCCGCGCTCACAGGTGGGGAAATCCGTCCTGGGGGCCTGCCCTAAAGGGGTCCGCAGCCCAAACAGCATTTCTGTCTCCAACCAACACCCCTCAGTCAAACCAAACCCGAATCAAAACGCCCAAGGCTTTGCTGGCCAGTAGCTGGCTCATTTCTCTTGGCCTCCAAGCAGCTATGGTTCTGGGCAAAAAAATCCGAGGAGTGATTGTATGGCCCCTTGTAGGGCCAGAGCCCTGGCTTTCCACGTGTCCTCCCTTATAGACAGTGTGACCACACTCCATCCCCAGTCTCCCACAACCTCTTCCCACTCCAGGTCCCACATAACGTACTTTGGCTACCTCGTGGGCTCATTGCCTTCCTCCTGTCTTCCTTCCTCCTCTAGTCTTCCTCTCTCCTTTCTAGCTCTCTTCATCTCTCTCTCCCACTCACTCCTCTCTGCCTCCCTGGCTTTCTCCTACATCCCATTTTCTCCTTCTCTCAACCATCCAGACACAATTTGTAAAGTGCCTGACTCCTTTGGGCCACTCATTGAGCTGGGCACTGAGGATACAGCGGTGAATAAGATATGGCCCCTTCTTCAAGGAGCTGACTAGACTGAGTACTTTGAGGACCGAGTCTGTATCTGATTTATCAAGAATTTGGACTTAGCCTCTTAGATTCCTTAGCCCAGTGTTGTTCTCTCTTGTTTCTGGACCATTTACTAGTAATACCTACCATTTATTGAGACTTTGCTAACTCCAGATACTGTGCTAAACACTCATCACATTTAATCTTTATAACAACCTTTTCAATAATTACCCCTTTTTTCCAAAGAGTAAAGAAGAATGATAATTACTATTAGACAGAGATTGGATTGGTGGTTATCAGAGGGGGAGGGGGGAGGGAGGAGGATGAAGGGGATAATTAGGCACGTGTGTGATGGATTGTAATTAGTATTTGGGTGGTGAACATGAGAACATGATGTAATTCATGCAGAAATAGAAGTACAATGATGTACACCTGAAATTTATACAATGTTATAAACCAGTGTTACCACAATAAAAAAAAAAAGAATGATAATTACTATTAAATAGTGGCCCTAGAGGCAGTTTCTTAATCGATATATTCTACTTTTACATCTGCTCTATTTGTTTTAATGCCACTCATATGCTTCGGACTCCTAAATTTGAAATCTAACCTTGGGATCTAGTCCACTGTCACCTCTCCACATGGATGTCTCACAGTCATCTCAAATTTAATCAACTCAAATTTCAACCCACCCCCTTCACCCAAACAGGACAAAACAGAGGCCCTATTCTTCCTGCATTTCCCATTTCAGGGACAATACCAGTATTTGCCCAAGCCAGAAACTGAGAAATTCTCTAAATACTTCCCTTATTGCCCATATTCAGTTGATTTCTTAGTCCTAGTGATTTTATCACTGACATTAATTGGTCCTCTCCTATCTATCCCTACACTAGTCCCCCAGTTAAGCCACTTTTTGTCTGTGTGATTGCCACAGCCTTATAACATCTCCCTGCCACCATTCATCCCAACAGTCCTTCTTTTAGCAAGTTGACCTTGGATGCCATTTCTCTCCCCTGCATTAAATTTCCAATTGCTCTCAGGAAGACTTAACACCAAGCGTGTAACAGCCTCTGTGACTTGGTCCTTCTATTAGTTTCCTATTTCTGCTGTAACAAATTACCACAATTTTAGTGGCTTGAAACAACACAGAAGTCTTACCTTACAATAATTGAGATCAGCAGTCTGAAGTGAAACTCACTGTGTTGAAATCAAATGTTGGCAAGACTTCATTCTTCTAGATGCTGTAGGGCATAATCTATGTCTTTGCTCTTTCTGGCTTCTAGAAGCTCCCTTTTCCTCTCACTTCAAATCCAGCATGTAGCATCTTCATATCTCTCTCTGACTCAGACCTCTGCCTCCCTCTTCTATAAATAAAAATCTTTTGATTACCTTCAGACCATCTAGATGACCCAGGATAATTTCTTTTTTAAGGTCAGCTGATTAGCAACCTTAATTCCATCAGCAATCTTAATTTCCCATTGCCATGAAACATAATATATTCACAGGTCTTGGAAATTAAGATGTAGACACCTGTGGGGTATATCATACTGCCCACCACAGCCCTTTTATCCCTTTCTAAGACACAACTCCTCTATACCACCTCTCAAAATTGAACCTCAAATGGTGTAGAACTGTTTGCAGTTAGTTACCTACACTGGGCCAGCTGATTCAAGACTCTGTGTCTTTGCTAGGCTGTTTCCTCTGTCTGGCGGCCCTTTGCACTTCATTGCTTGGCTAATTTCAATGAATCTTTAAGACTGCTTAAGTATTGTCACTTCTAGGAAGTCTTTCTGACATTCTAAGCTTTTGCCAAATTCTCTTCCTCTGTGCTTCTCTGCATCTTAGCACTTTCACATTACATCAAAAATATCTCTTTACCTGTCAGTATCCCTTTAATAGAATGGAAACTCCTTGAAAGCAGGTATTGGCTTATTCAACTGTATATGCACAGTACTTAGCATAATGCCTAGCAAACATTTAGTGAGCCCAAAGTATATTTTTGTTGTCCTGACCTATGCAGACCTGAATGAGAACCCATTGAAGAGTTTTAAGCAAATTCTCATTTTAGAAGATCATTCTGGTGACAATATGGAGGGTGGATTTGTAGGGGTGACAATGAAGCCCTGGGAGACTTCATGATATGTCGTCTCATAGGCAAGAAACAATCAAGCCCTGAGATGATGAGTCAAAGGCAATAGGAATGAGGGGAGAGAATGGATTTGAGAGACATTTGAAGCAACATTGTCATCACTTTGAGTTCTTCCTCATCTCACCTACTGTAAAGACAACAGAGTTGGAGGGATTGCTTGCTGTTGTGAAGCTGACAAGCGTAGATGACGAGTTTGGATTCTAGAGGGAACAGTTAAGCCAGAAAAGTAAATGAATTCTCTAGAAAAACACATCAAACAGATGAGCTCTTTTTATCAGGAAAGCAATTGGAAAGCAAGAACAGAGAGGCAGGAAGTCTGTGATATTTACATGTAAAGTTGGATTTGTTGCATTCTTGGAGATGTTAGAGGACTATGTTTCTGAAGGTTTATGAACTTTGGGGTCTTTTCAGAGACTATATTTATTGTCCTTTGCTTCATAACAAAACATTTACTAAATTTAATGACTTTAAACAATGATTTATTATTTCTCACAACTCCCTGGCTTGACTGGCATTTCTTTGGTCTGGGCTAGCTCAGCTAGGGCTGGATTGTCTAGGATGGCTTCACTCACGTGTCCGGGGTGTCAGCTGGGATGGCTGGAATGGTTGAGATTGCTGGATCACTCTCTACAGATGTTCTTTTTATCCTCCGGGTGGTTAAATCATCCTTTTTTACATCCAAGTCTCAGGGTTCCCGGCATCAAGAGAGGATAAACATTAATGTGCTTCTGTGCTTTTCAAATCTTTGCTAGCACCACATTTTCTATTATCCCATTGGCCAGAGCAAATTACATAGCCAAACTCAGAGTCAGCTTGGGAGGGAACTCCCCAAGGGTTTGGATACAGTAAGGCTTGCATCCTTGGGAGTCATTACTACAAAAATCATCACAGTTCATGATGATTTTTGTTCCTCCCATATTTAAAACACTACCCCTCCTAAGACTACCAAAATTCTCATTCACTTATGTTATCAGGCTTAAAGTTCAGTATTTTGTGATCTATAGTCAGGTCTAGAAGCAGCTCCTTGGATACTGCCTTTATTAATTGAGAGATCTATGAACCTAAAAACCAAGTTGTATTAGTTATCTATAGCTGAGTAACAAATTTCCCCAAAACTTTAGGCTTAAAACAACAATAATCACTTATTATCTCTAGTGATTTCTGTTGTTTAGGGATTCAGATGAGGCACAGGAATCAGCTTGTCTCTGCTCTGTGATGTTTGGAACTTCAGGGCGAAGACTGAAGGCTGAGAGCTGGAATCAGCTCCTTCTAAAGTTATTAGGAAACTGTTCCTTTTGGATCTCACTTTTGAGATTTGTCAGGAAGGACAAGAATAGTCTCAGTCTAGGGCTAATTATTGCTCAATCCTGAGGCAAGACCCTCCTGTGTACTCTGTGGAATGCCCATCAAGCAGGAGATTTTCTAGGTCTGGCTGGTGGGAATGGGCACTATTATTTCCAGCTCTGTTGTGAGTGCCCAGCACTATCTCACATCCTTCTGAGTGGTTCTTTCCATGGCATCTGCTAGTTCTCGCACACATGTGTGCTGACCAATGGGCAGGGAATACTCAGAGATGACCCTATGCACATCTTGCGAATTCTTGTCCTGTGCAGCTCTCGTCTCCCTAGTTCTCTGTCCCACACACTCTAGCCATATTGGTCTCCCTGGGTTTTGGGAGATGCTGTGGTCTAGAAACTCTCTCAAATCGGTAAGCAGAGGCAATAGTATGCCTCATGTCTTTTGTTTATTGTTTCTCAGAGATTATTGTCCTGCATTGCCCAATGTCGAGTGGCTTGAAACTGTTGCTTCATACATTTTGTCTGTTTTTTAGATGTATCAGGTGGGTTTCAGGAGGGTAAATCTGGTCCCCGTTACTCTCTCTTGACAGGAAGTAGAACTCAATTTCAGTTTGATAATCAAAGTTTAATTATTCAGCTAGCAATCACTCTTCTAATTTGAGGAAAATTTCACATATCTGAATCTTGGTAGGCATTCAACCCCACTTTTAATTGAAACCAAAGATAGGACACATTTCCATCCTGCATGCCCTAGCAGCAAGGTCACAGGCGTGTGACTTTGTATCCTGAAAAGGAATCAACACAAAAATTCTTGGACCGTAAAGGACCACGAA